GTTCTGGGGCACCGGGACGAGCCCGGGGGGCTGCCCTGCTCCCAGGCCCGGCAGCCGCAGGACACCGCGGAACGGGGCTGCCGCGGTCACTTCCTTAGCGCCGGCGTGAGGAAGGTGTCAGTGCTCCAACGTGGGCCGTGTCGGGCAACACGGAGAGCAGAGCGTTTGAAAGCAGTGACTGGAGTGACATCCTCCGCGTGGGGCGTCTCAAAGAGGGAGGTTGGAGGCGCTGGCCCCTTTACATATTCGTTTTGGTGCAGGAGTCAGGCTTCCCCGAAGGGCTTGCCCAGTTCTGTGCCCGGGTTGTATTTTGTGTGTTATATCTAACCTTGCCATCCTCTTGTTCTTCATCTCATTTTACATTTTGCTCAGTTCCACACTTCATCTCGCCTGTTTCACGATGAAGCCTTTTGGTGTGGGTGTAGTGTGTGGAGAGCTCTCAGTCAACAGCCCAGCCCTTAAATGCTGCCTTAGTTTAGGTTTTATTTTTTCTTGAGTCTGCTTTTATTGATTTATTTGAAATTAGTACGGTAAGAAGAGTGGCCTTTTGTATAGTTATCATTTTTATAATTATTCTATAGTCATTCCATAACAAACAACCAAAAAAAGAAAGAGAAGGATGAAAAAAGGTAAATGCACAGCTCCCTTGTATCACATAGAAAGATGCAAAGTTGTGATGCAGGTTTAAAATATATTTTGTAATAATCCGTTATAATGTTCTAGCTGTTAGAATAGTATAATTAAAAGGTTTTTCTTGGCACTCTGTTTAAACTTTTTCACTTTTTCCTAAGATATCTAATTAAAAGGTAATTGAACTATTCAAATAATTTACAAAGGAAATGTTGCTTTCCTATGCATCTTTTTATATCATATTTTTGAGAGCACTGGAGCTGGTAATGACAGTGGAAGGAAATAGTGATACTTTTTCGCATTCCCGTATGAAACTTTAGATATATGTAGTGATTTTCATTTATGTTTTCCTGTATACAGGTCCAGTGGTTATGCTGAATTACACCATCAGAATGTTGTTCTTCTGTGACTGGGGCTGTTTTGAGGATTTTAATGTACTGAGGTAATACGTCATTTATGGAAGTAGTTTAATGCTTTAAATGTTTATATAATAATGTCATGGTTTTATATTTTATTGCCTCTAATTGAGATGCATTTTGTCAGGCTATGGGGTTGATAAAGAGATGGTGAAAATACTCTGTTCCTCTCAAAGGTATTTTTAACTAAAATGTAACCACAGTTACAATCCTAGAAATGTACAGAACTTCAAAAATAAGTAGTCAAATCAGGAATGTGTTAACTCCATCAGTTATTTTAGCAATATTGATTCAAATATCTATGACTAATTTCTTATGTGCTGTTAGTGTATAGTAAGCTTCAGAGCAAACATCATTAGCATTATCATTTGAGTATTTATTACTCTCTAAAATTTATGCATCTTTGTTTCTGACTTAATATATATATTTTCCTTTTCTAAATATATTTCCTAAGATATTGGGACTTTTTTTTTGTTTTTCTTGAAACAGGAATTAAGATTAAGAAGTGTTTAATTGGCCATAGCAGCAAAAGGATGTATGAGGTAGGTACAGTGAAAGAATACAGTTTTTATCCTTACAGAATATTCTTATTTTTATTTCTCTATCTCTCTGAACACCAAGAAATAACATATGGTGGGCTGATATTTGACACCTGCGTCTGTCTTTCCAAAATTTCGTGACAAATCGCTCTTTCCGGGGATAGATGTAGGTTGCTTATTTTGGGGTAAATGGCACATGTTTACCACTGGGTAGCGGGGTACAAGCAGAGAGCTGTAGGCACCTGATGCTTTTCAGTTCTGCAGTCTCTGAATGGCAGATTTTGAACACGGCCTTTCCCTAAGGTTTCTGTCAATTCTATTTTGTAAAAGTGGGCGGAGAAAATAACACCAAGTGTTTGAGTCTTGTTTTCAGTATCTTGTTTGAATAGGACCAAAGAAGAAAAAGACTCATTCTTCATATATTTTATCTATTTTGCTTAAGTAGGCAATTTTAGTTTTCTATTTTGTTTCTTGCATTGGTGTCACTGAGTGTGTACCCTAATGCGAGAGTTCTGCAATGAAATAATTTGTGTTCAGAATTTCCATAAAAGGTCTTAATAGTTATTCAGCAGAAGTAAAAGATAATTTTTGATGCTTATCCTCATCTGAAGTCAAGATTTTGTCCTTATTTGCTTGTTTAATGCTTCAGTTTTATTGCTATGATTGACTGATAGAGAACCATGAAATGTTTTATGTTTAAAAAAAAAAAAAAGTTTGTCCAAGACTAACAGAGGCAAATAGCAGAACAGTTATGCTTGGATAATATTTATTAACTTTCTCATGAAGTGTATTTGCGTGTTGTTGTTACTAAAGTTGCAAACTGTGTGTGGTGTAAATGTTAAATATGTATGTTCTTCAATGCTTGTTTAAATTTTGAAAATAAAAAGTTGTAATCACTCTTGCTTCCCTGCTTTATCTTGTTGTTGTAACAAACAGGCCCTTACTATCAATTTCAAAGGTTGCGTGTGGAATTATGTAGTCTTTGTGTCAGCCTTCTGTATTACTATCAATCTTGGCAGACTTCTTGAAAAGGCTCGGGGTAGCTGGATATAAACCATCCCATGCTTCGTGTGAGTTTGCCGGTTGTGTCTTTGACTTACTGTGTTAACAGTATTTGTAGTATTGGTTTGACCTTAAGTTCAAACATAAGCATGAAATCTCTTTTAATAGCATAAACGTTGTAGGAAAATATTATCACAGTTTGTGGGCTGGTACATTTTAATGTACTAACTGTTATGAAAAGCGTAATTACAACTCTGTAAACTTAATTGTGGTACAGTTGTTCTGTACTGCTATTAAGGGTATAAAACTGTGTAAGCTAAGGAGAGGCTGTCTTTGGTTGGTCACTTGCCTAGGAAAGAATTTTTTTGTCACCTAGGCTTTACAATATTCTTTTTGTCTTTAGTTATTTCTGCCACCATTTTGAGGGGCGTAGGGAACTGAAAGCCTTGCCCAAAGGGAGGCTGGTCGGTGTTCTGCACCTGACACAGCACTGAGCAGTAGGGTGCCAACAACCACAGCACACATGGGAAGGGAAGACTGCAGTGTGTAGCTCAGTGCATCTCTCAGAGACATGGTGCTCTGTGGCCACTTCATTTGTGGTGATGCTTGTTTAAAAAATAAAGTCTCTGGTTTGCTCTTTCTTTTTTTCAGAATAGTTGTTTTTTCATATTATGTTTTCTCATCATACAAATAAAACTATGCTGTACTGAAGAATTAATATATAGTTTTTAAAAGAAGTGACTTTCAGTGCATATAATTTCTGTGCAAGCCTTCTGTATTTTCATTCTCTAGCTAAAGAACTTGATTGTTCTTCAGAAAAGACTAGAACAAGATTTTTGGTTTAAGAAAAAAAAATCTCTTGCTTAATGCCAAGAGGGAGTCATGCTGAGATAACGTTCAAAGCTGGAGTATCCCTGTCCTGCTGAAATGCCTCTGATGCAAGTCTATGGGAAGAATGGGAGTATTCTTGTGTCCTATTTGGGTATTTGCCAAGAACTGCAGGTGCAAATGAGATGGAAAAGCACATCAAAAAGTGTTTTGCTCCAAGTAGATGGAAGAGTTAGTGGGGTGAAAATGAAACTGTGCGGCTGACATATGGCTGGAATCAATTTGGACTCTAACAGGGCTTCTAAATTTGGCCTTCTAAAATTGGAGAACTTTTGCTTTTTGGTTGATGTTTGAGTAAGGAAATGTTTCTGTGACTGACCTGCCAGGCAATGTCAGGTTGTAAAGTCGGATGTATCAGTAACTGAAGGTTGCAATGTTTGAAGGAGCCGTTCAGGGGTTGTACAACCACCCCGACCCCAAGAAAAAAAGCAGAAACCAGTGAGGACAAACATGCAAGTGTGACCTTGCATGTGATTCATTATTCATCCACTCTAAGGGACCATTGGAAGGGGCTCTCTATTCTTTTGCAAGGACCTTTCCCCAGGAAGAACTTTCCTCTTGAAATGGCTACTTCGGTAGGGTTAAGTACAGCTTGCTTCAGTGTGATTTGTGTTGTACCCATGCATCTTTCACATTTTGTATGTATGTGTTCTATTGGATGAGCCGTGAGTGCAAAGATCTGCTTTGTATGACTTTGAGCATGCTTCTGTCTTCTGATATACATGATTTTAAAAAATAAAGGATACAAAACTGAATTTAGGGTTTTTTTTGTTTGTTTTAGCCCTTCCTTGTCTGGTTGGTTTTCTCAAGTGAGGTTACAGCCTGCCAGTATTTTGCAAATGTGTGTGATTTCAGGTGTGTTGGAGCTTGCCATTTCAGTGAAGTAGCACTATGTGTAGCAAGACACAAACTTCTGACATGTCTTTGTCTCTCTCAGCTCAATCAAAACAGATGCTGAAGAAATAAAGTGGATCCTATGTATTTAGGAAATATGGAAGTAAAATTTAAATTATTCTTCCCAACATCATTTTTTAAGGGACAGCATGTGAACTCCAAAGTACTGTTAGAGAATCAAAAAAGATGCATCTAAAATGTGTATAAACATACTCTGTGTATGATGATTCAAGCACTTACACTACTACTAGAAAAAAAGAATCCCAGAGTAATATTTTGGCTCATCAGTGGATTTTATCACTGTCATCAGCAAATTTTGAGGTTTTACTAAAGAAGGAAAACAAATTGTTACAGGATTTAGACAGAAACCACTGTTCCACAGTTGAGTACTGAAACTGAGACCACCCAAATGCCCTCAGCTGTTTTGTGTTATTTTCAAAAACAGTTTGTTCTCTTTAGCAAAGTGTTTATGAATGGAGAGTTGTAATACAACAGTTCTATTAGTTGTATTACTTTGGAAAGTATTACATTCTTTCCAAAATCACAATATTAAGTAAATGTTACATTACTCTTTCTGATTGTCAAAGGAGACAGACTTTTGATTTTTCTTCTAGCTTTCAGGTTAAAAATAGCCATGGGCAGTTATGACTGAGTATCTTTAGAGGAACCTCTCTCTTGGAAGCTTTAGCTAGTTTGAGCTAGATATTTATCCCTTTAGGGTTAATAGGACGCTTATAATATTTTAGGGTATCTTAGTAATTAATTCAGGGATGTTATATGTTTACTGTGGTTCTTATAAAGTAAATGGAATATATGTTCTTGTATGTGTGTGTGTTTTATTTTCTATTAGAATATAATTTTTTATCAGGACAGGTTGACCGTATTGCATTGCGTACCTGTTCCTGTGCAGAAGGATACCTTGTCACTCTGCCCTCACAGTGAAAAGTCCACTTATCTGCAGTTTAGGGTAGTCACGGCTTGGTCCAAACTGGTCAGAGTCTTCAAATGTTCACGATGGCATCTAATCAAAGTAGAGGACTGCGTTAGGAATCTTGGTTTTGAGAGCTCTGCTAATTTCTGAGTTTATACTTGGAATCAGAGTAAATGAAAAGTATGGAGGATAGCATGGGAAATAAAATGCTGTAGTTAAATTCATTGTCTTACTGCTATATAGTATGTCATCAGAGAGTACGTGGTGCTCAGTAGCTCATGTGTGAAGTAGAGTGAGAGGAGACTTGGAGGGAAAGGCTAAAGAAGTGATTTGTGGAGGTGGAAAAGAGCTAAAGAAATTGAAAAAGTTAAATTGTTTACCTTCTGAAAAGTAAAAAAAAATATGATGAAATGCATGTATACACAGATATACAGAATGATTGAATGTTGTAGAAAAAGAAATTCAACAGTTTTTGTTCTGTTAGTTCAGCATGGGGATGATAATTCCAGTTCAGTCATGCTGTGACTCTGTGATCCTGTGAATAGGAGGATATTCTGTGGAATTAGAACAGCACATTTAAAAAAAATATATCTTTATGTGATAAGATGGTTCTGTAATGTATTTTTTTTATTTAAGGAAATTTAAAAACAGATCGTTTTGTCCCTCACTTCTCTACTAGAGCTTATCTTAAAAACCGTGATAATTTTTACTGAAAGTGGGAGTAGAGGATTTTTTTTTTTTTTCCTATTTTGTGATATGGCAACTCGGGGAAAGGTTATAGCATTTGCTAGTTCCTCTTTTTCCTTAGTTGTTTGGTAGGGTATGCCAAGGTAAAATATATCCTGGGTCCTACTGCATGGGAGGGTCTGCTCATTTTCTTGTAAGTGGGAATTCAAAGGAAAAGCTTTAGCAATACCTTTGGCATTTGCATTAACCGGGGCAGGAAGCATGTTCAGCAGTTGGTTTTATGACTTGCCACTAGTCAGGCAGATTTTTGTTTTATTTTATTTTATTTTATTTTGTTTTATTTTATTTTTATTTTTATTTTTTTTTGTTCCATGGATTCACACATTCAGTAGGTGTTCCCAAACAAGTTTAATCCAGGATAGTATGCAGGTTTACCCTGTGCCTAGAGTGATGGAGCGCATGGGGAGGGTGAGGTGAGCTAGCACTGCCCCAAGGTCCAGCGAGTCTGTTAGAAGTCAGAAAAGGGAGCGGGGGGTGTCTTAATTAAATGAGTGTGCTTGTTGCCCTGCCAGTCCTTTCGCTTGGCATGGCTCCAGTCCTA